GCCAGACTAGCTGCGCTTTTTGTGATACTCCTGGTCATGGAATATACTCCTGTAGCTCCTTCGCCGGTCTGTCTCCTAGTCTACGGCAAAGAGAAATAAAAAGACTTTCCTTGTACTTCAATTGCCTAAAGAAGGGGGACCACACTCGAACGTGCAACTCCGGCCATTGCCCCACATGCGGTGGAAAACTCCACACGCTGCTCCATCTACGTCCTGATGTTCCTGCTAAAGGAGGATAGCACAACAACCAAGCTTCGCGTAGTTTTCAATGGATCGGCTTTAGCCTCATCCGGGTCGTCTCTTAATGATGTCCTTATGGCTGGGCCCGTTATACAGCCAAGGCTGTTTAACATTTTGATAAAATTTCGTACTTATCAGGTGGCCCTGACTGGAGACATTTGCAAGATGTATCGGTGCGTAAGGGTGAGTGAACCCGATAACTACTTGCAATGCATTTTATGGCGAGACGAACCGGACAAAGAGCTCGAAGTTTACAAACTGGATACAGTGACCTACGGAAGCAAGCCTGCCTCATTCCTTTCCGTTCGAACAATGCACCAGCTGGCCATTGACGAGAGGGATTCCTTCCCTGCTGGCTCAGTTGCTCTGCAACAAGATTTCTATGTCGATGATTTCATCTCCGGTGGAAGCTCTGTTGGTGAGGCTATTGAGAAAAAGCGACAGACCACTGAAATACTTGCTCGAGGTGACTTCAAGTTACGAAAGTGGTGCACCAGCCACCCCGAGGTTTTAAAGGATGTGTCAGATGATGACAAGGAGAAGTATTTTAAGTTCGGCGATGGCAGCGATATAACCAAAACTCTTGGTCTTGCATGGGATCCGGCAACAGACGAGCTGCTGTTTTCTTTATCGTCTCTAGATCCGGGCTCCAAGGCCTGCAGACGATCTGTTCTGGCCACCTTTGCTCGTTTCTATGACCCGCTAGGCCTTCTTGGTCCAGTAATCACAAAGGGCAAGCTGTTTCTTCAACAACTCTGCAAGGATAAATTGGATTGGGATGAAAGTTTGCCCTTGGCCCGTAACACCTACTGGATTGAAATGTGCATCAGTTTTCAGAGCGTCCAACGCATATCATTCCCAAGATTTTTACTTCTTTCAAAAACTGATGTTGAAAATTTTGAAAAAAAATGAAGACCCCCACCTTGATGACAACGCCAAAATCCGAAGAAAATCACCTCGATATTCGGTATTTTAATCAAAGGCATACCTCATTGAATTCGTTACAAAATTTTCAACAAAGTGTCATTTACAGAAACAAAAAATATCAGTTGAAAAAAAATTTGAAAAAATGAAGACCCCCACCTTGATGACAACGCCAAAATCCGAAGAAAATCACCTCGATTTTCGGTATTTTAATCAAAACCCTGGGAAATAGTGGTCGAATGTTGTAATGGCATACCTCGTTGAATTCGTTACAAGATTTCCAACAAAGTGTCATTTACAGAAAAAAACAATATCATTTGAACAAATTTTTGGAAAAATATGATGACCCCCACCCTAATAACAACGCCAAAATCCGAAGAAAATCACCTCAATTTTCGGTATTTTAATCAAAACCCTGGAAAATAGTGGTCAAATGTTGGAATGGCATACCTCGTCGATTTTGTTACAAAATTTCCAACAAAGCGGCATTAAAAAAAATAAAATATCATTTAAAATTTGTTTTTGAAAATAAAACCATGACCCCCACCCTTAAGAGAAGGCCCAAATCCGGAGAAAATCACATCGATTTTTCGGTTTTTAATCAAAACCCTGAAAAAAAGAGGTCGGATGTTGGAATTGCATACCTCGTTGAATTCGTTGCAAAATTTCCAACAAAGTGTCATTTGAACCAAAATTTTTGAAAAAAATGTTGACCCTCTCTGTTGAGCGCAGCGGCAAACGACTCCAACTAAAGAGAGAATCAGAATCACTCATTTCTAAGCGGCTCCCCTTATCTCTCTATTAATTGGACTACTCAGTCTGTGCCCGCCTCTCAACACCTACGGTCCGTTGCCAGAGAAAATAAAGTGCGGTTTTTGAAGTGCAAAGCCAAATCGGTGTACAATAGCTTAAAGCGCCTGGATATTTCGCTAGCTAAAGACGCGATTTGCCTGTTTGGGTCCGCGGAGTTGACAGTTCGGCTAGAACTTCTTGAGCATACTCAAGCCTCCTTCAGGCTTGCCCACAATGCGCTGGAGGAGCTAGACTATTCGGAAATCGGCAGTGAGCTTAGCGACAATTTTGAAATGCTCATGGTAACGGTCAAGTCACGGCTAAGGCTGCAACTTGACAACTGTCAGCTTCGAATGCCAACATCTTCCACTATGCACCTTGATCCCAGCCTGGATCAGTCAACTGTCATGGTTGATCGAGGGCATAGAACTCGCCTGCCCGAAGTAAAACTGCCTACATTCTCCAGTGAATACACCGAATACTCTGACTTCCTCTCCATATTTACCTCGGTGTTAGATAAGGACCCCTACTTGGCTGACATAGAAAAGCTTCAACATTTGCGGTCATGCTTAGCTGGAGCTGCGCTGGAGTCGGTTCGATCATTAGAAATATCTGGTGCCAATTATCGTGCGGCACTAGAAATCCTAAATAAGCGCTTTAATAATAAACGGCTTGTTTTCCAGGCACACATCAGTGAAATTCTTGGGCTCAAGAGGCTCGAGTCTGCGTCTTCTGTGGCATTGCGGCATTTTTCGGACAAAATTATTGGGCATATGCGAGCGCTTCAGGCCTTGGGAGATTTAAAACAAATCTCAGGCTGCATGGTTGCATACATGATTGTTCAAAAATTGGATGCAGCAACCCAAGCTAACTGGGAGGAAGGTTTGTCAACGGATAGGATTCCAATCGAGGAGGATTTGCTCTCGTACCTTGAAGGGCAATGCCAGAAACTGGAGAGCGTTCAGCATGCCTTGGCTTCCAACATGGCCCATGACCATTCAGCTCCAAGGCCTGCCAGACGGACGTTACTTGGTGCCCAGGTCAGCCAGACTAGCTGCGCTTTTTGTGATACTCCTGGTCATGGAATATACTCCTGTAGCTCCTTCGCCGGTCTGTCTCCTAGTCTACGGCAAAGAGAAATAAAAAGACTTTCCTTGTACTTCAATTGCCTAAAGAAGGGGGACCACACTCGAACGTGCAACTCCGGCCATTGCCCCACATGCGGTGGAAAACTCCACACGCTGCTCCATCTACGTCCTGATGTTCCTGCTAAAGGAGGATAGCACAACAACCAAGCTTCGCGTAGTTTTCAATGGATCGGCTTTAGCCTCATCCGGGTCGTCTCTTAATGATGTCCTTATGGCTGGGCCCGTTATACAGCCAAGGCTGTTTAACATTTTGATAAAATTTCGTACTTATCAGGTGGCCCTGACTGGAGACATTTGCAAGATGTATCGGTGCGTAAGGGTGAGTGAACCCGATAACTACTTGCAATGCATTTTATGGCGAGACGAACCGGACAAAGAGCTCGAAGTTTACAAACTGGATACAGTGACCTACGGAAGCAAGCCTGCCTCATTCCTTTCCGTTCGAACAATGCACCAGCTGGCCATTGACGAGAGGGATTCCTTCCCTGCTGGCTCAGTTGCTCTGCAACAAGATTTCTATGTCGATGATTTCATCTCCGGTGGAAGCTCTGTTGGTGAGGCTATTGAGAAAAAGCGACAGACCACTGAAATACTTGCTCGAGGTGACTTCAAGTTACGAAAGTGGTGCACCAGCCACCCCGAGGTTTTAAAGGATGTGTCAGATGATGACAAGGAGAAGTATTTTAAGTTCGGCGATGGCAGCGATATAACCAAAACTCTTGGTCTTGCATGGGATCCGGCAACAGACGAGCTGCTGTTTTCTTTATCGTCTCTAGATCCGGGCTCCAAGGCCTGCAGACGATCTGTTCTGGCCACCTTTGCTCGTTTCTATGACCCGCTAGGCCTTCTTGGTCCAGTAATCACAAAGGGCAAGCTGTTTCTTCAACAACTCTGCAAGGATAAATTGGATTGGGATGAAAGTTTGCCCTTGGCCCGTAACACCTACTGGATTGAAATGTGCATCAGTTTTCAGAGCGTCCAACGCATATCATTCCCAAGATTTTTACTTCTTTCAAAAACTGATGTTGAAATTCATGCTTTCTGCGATGCCAGCGAGGAAGCTTACGGGGCTTGCATATATGTGCTGTCTAGGGGCACTTCTCCAGCCAGCAGCCATCTCTTATGCTCCAAATCCCGAGTAGCGCCTCTCAAAACGTTATCTGTACCTAAGCTGGAGTTATGTGGCGCCCTGCTACTAGCCAAGCTGATGAATGAAGTTATGAAAATGGGTATGTTCAAAAGTCCTTTTCACTGCTGGTGTGATTCCTCTGTGGCGCTATCCTGGATCGGTAATGAGCCTTTCAAATTCAACCGAGTGCCTTCTATACAGGAATTGACTGCTAATATGGAATGGCATCATATTCCGACTGCACTGAATCTTGCCGACGTTTTGTCCAGGGGCTCTACTCCGGATCTACAGGCGCTTTCTGAGATCTGGTTTCATGGTCCACCAGTCTTACTTGGTGGTCGCAAGGATTGGCCTACGCGTCTGCATTATGGCGATCCGAACCTCGAGTTACGTAAACAGGTGCTGATGGTCAAGTCTCCTCACATTGATGTTACCGTTAGATCCAAGTATGGCAACTCGTTCCCTTCCATGCAGCGCGTGTTCGCGTACATTTACAAATTTGCTCACCGCTTGTGGCATCGTGGTCTCGAGGTATCTGATGTGCAACGTGGGACATATATGATCTGGCGAGGCGTCCAATTGGCTCATTTATGGGAAGATATAAAGGAGCTTTGTTCAAATAGCATTGTTAAGAAATCAAGTTCAATTGCTTCGCTCGAGTTGGTGGACGCCTCGAAAATTCAACACTTGCGTATGAGGCTCGCCATCCTATAATAGTTCCACGTCGTCACCCACTCACCTTAGCGCTCATCATGCACTTCCATAAGATGAATCTGCATGCAAGCATCCGACTACAATACTGGCCTATTGGAGGACTGCGAACGGTCTCAAATGTAGTGAAAGGCTGTGTGGAGTGCTTCCGGGCCAGGCCCAAATTTATGGAACCAATCATGGCTAATCTTCCGAAGGAACGTTTGGAGTGCGTACGGGCCTTTGCTGTTTCTGGCGTCGACTATTGTGGACCTTTCTTTTACAAATCAGAAGTTCGCACCAGGTATCCCATCAAGTGCTACGTATCCGTGTTCATCTGGTTTACAAGCAAGGCTGTGCACTTAGAGCTTGTCAAGGATCTAACAACTGCTTCGTTTTTAAGTGCTTTGAAAAGATTCATTTCTACACGTGGAAAGCCTAGTCAAATTTGGTCGGACAATGCTACCAAATTTGTAGGAGCAAAAAATGAGTTGACGGATTTTAAGCGGCTGCTGCTTAGCGATTCTCATATGCAGTCTGTTCATCAAGCTTGCTTGGCGGAGGGAATCGACTGGCCTCGCTCACCACACTTTGGCGGATTGTGGGAGGCAGCAGTCAAGACGGCCAAACACCATTTCTACCGCTCTGTTGGCCGCCAAACGCCTAGTTTTGATGAGCTTCGCACTTTGGTTTGTCAGATTGCGTCAATCATTAATTCTCGCCCCTTGCTATCCATTTCAGAGAATCCAGATGATCTTGATGTTTTGACTCCTGCCCACCTACTTTTTGGTGGCCCTTCTACTACTATCATTGAGCCCGATCCAACCAAGCTCAACTACAACTCTTGGATGGCTGGCAGCGTGTAACATACCTGCAGCAAAAATCACCTCGATTTTCGGTATTTTTGGAATGGCATACCTCGTCGAATTCGTTACAAAATTCCCAACAAAGTGTCATTTACAGAAAAAAATATCATTTGAACAAGTTTTTTTTGAAAAAAATGATGACCTACCCCTTATGACAACGCCAAAATCCGAAGAAAATCACCTCGATTTTTGTTATTTTAATTAAAACCCTAGGAAATAGTGGTCGAATGTTGGAATGGCATACCTCCTTGAATTCGTTAAAAATTTTCAAAAAATAGTGTCATTTACAGAAAAAATATCATTTGAACAAATTTTTGTAAAAAAAATGATGACCCCCACCTTAATGACAACGCCAAAATCCGAAGAAAATCACCTCGATTTTCGGTATTTTAATCAAAACCCTGGGAAAAGTGGTCGAATGTTGGAATGGCATACCTCGTTGAATTCGTTACAAATTTTCCAACAAAGTGTCATTTACAGAAAAAAATTAAAAAAAAAAAAGAAGACCCCCACCTTAATGACAACGCCAAAATCCGAAGAAAATCACCTCGATTTTCGGTATTTTAATCAAAACCCTGGGAAATAGTGGTCGAATGTTGGAATGGCATACCTCGTCGAATTCGTTACAAAATTCCCAACAAAGTGGCATTTACAGAAAAAAATATCATTTGAACAAGTTTAAAATAAGCCCCTAAAGAAATACGAAGTGCACCCCATTTACAATCTTCAGTTCCCGCTGCACCGCAGAATTACAGTTGAGGAACCGCACAAACGCAATGGCCCGGTACAATGTGTGAACTGCCAAGTATATGGCCATACAAGGTCATACTGTAAACTGCGCCCGGTGTGTGTAGTTTGTGGAGATCTTCATGACTCCGCACACTGCCCAGCGAGCAAAGAAGACTGCAACTCGAAAAAGTGCGGCAACTGCGGTGGCAATCACACTGCTAACTACAGAGGCTGCCCAGTTTATAAGGAGCTGAAAAGTCGCATCCACCAGAGAGGAACTGCCGCCCGCACCCAAAATAAACAGATGACATCTTCCAGATCAAATCCTGAAGTCTTCTTCTCGACTGCAGCCAGATCCTTACTAGGACCCTTAAACTCTGATAAAAATGTGACTTACGCAAGCGCTTTAAAATCAGGACTGGCCAATCCTGTCTCAAAAAGCTCATTTCTGCAATCAGCATACCAAGAACCGAACACGGCTCAGCAGCAACAATTCCTGGAGCAGTCAAAAAGCAACTTCGAAGATATGATATACAGCCTGCAGCAAAGCCTTACGGAGTTTATGTCGTTTATGCGCACAACTATGCAAGATTTAATGCGAAACCAAAATCTATTGATTTAAATGCTGGTTTCACAACAATCCAAATAATGACTTCCCTAAGGATATCTACGTGGAACGCTAACGGCGTCTCACAGCATAAACTTGAGTTAGCTCAATTCCTACTCGACAACCATATCGACGTAATGCTGCTTTCAGAAACACACCTTACAAACAAATACAATTTTCAACTACGAGGTTATTCATTTTACGGAACAAATCATCCAGATGGTAAAGCACATGGTGGGACTGGAATTCTAATCAGAAGCCGTATTAAGCACCACTATCATAACAAATTTGCTAAAAATTACCTACAGGCCACATCTATAAATATACAATCAAATACTGGCAACCAACTTACACTAGCCGCCGTATACTGCCCCTTTCGCTTCACCATAGCTGAAGATGAGTTTATGCAGTTTTTCAACTCACTAGGAGACCACTTCATAGCAGCAGGGGACTACAACGCCAAGCACACACACTGGGGATCACGTCTCGTGACTCCAAAAGGAAAACAACTCTATAATGCAGTTATAAAAGCCAAGAACAAGCTAAACTATGTTTCCCCTGGCAGACCGACATACTGGCCAGCAGACCCAAGGAAACTACCCGATCTAATAGACTTTGCAATTACCAAAAACATTCCTAAAAATCTGATAAGCGCCGAATGCCTATCGGATCTTTCATCGGATCACTCGCCTGTCGTGTTTATTCTACTCCGACATCCAGGCGCATTGGAGCAATCGTTTAAATTGACATCACAGAAAACCAATTGGGTTAAGTACAAGAAATACGTTAGCTTACACATTGAGCTAAGTCCTCATCTCAACGATGAAGCAAACGTAGACAGATTTGTTAATACACTAGAGTCTGTACTCGTCTCTGCAGCTCGAGTTTCAACACCCCAAGCTACAAGTACGCAAAGCAACCAAAAGAAGACAAATCTACAAATAGAACAGCTCGTCCTCGAAAAGCGACGCTTACGTCGAGAGTGGCAAATCCACAGATCGCCATCTGCTAGACAAAGCTTAAAATATGCCTCACGTCAACTCACAAAAGCTTTATGGCAAGAAGACGCACATGTCCACCGACGCTACATAGAGCAATTGTCAACATCTAGTACAAAACACTCAATATGGAGAGCTCACCCTACTCTAAGCTCACCGAAAGTAACCGTGATGCCTATAAGAAATCCCACAGGCGGCTGGGCGCGTAGCGATGCAGACAGAGCCAGCACGTTTGCCAACCACCTTAAAAATGTCTTCCAACCAAATCCTGCCACTAGTGCGTTCACCTTGCCGACTTTATCAGATGAGCCTCAGCTTCAACATGAACCAATTGAGTTCCGCCCAAACGAAACATCATCAAAAATAAGCTGAATCCGAAAAAATACCCGGGCTGCGACTTCATAACTCCCAAAATGATCATTGAGCTCCCATATTGCGCCGTTTGCACTATCACCCAGCTTTTTAATGCCATTGCAAAACTTGGCCACTTTCCAGTGAGATGGAAAAAGTCGATTATAATAATGATAGCAAAGCCGGGAAAAGACCACACAATTCCCACGTCGTATAGACCTATAAGCTTACTCTCATGCTTATCTAAACTCTTTGAAAAATGCGTATTGACTCGGATAAACACATACCTAAGAATCCAGGAAGGAATTCCGTCACATCAATTTGGGTTTCGTGAAAAGCACGGAACAATTGAGCAAGACAACCGGATAACATCAGAAATTCGGAACGCGTTCGAAAAACGAGAGTACTGTACTGCCATATTTTTAGATGTCTCTCAAGCATTTGATAGAGTTTGGCTTGAAGGTCTAATGTACAAGATCAAGACAATGCTCCCCTACAACACCCATAAGCTTTTAGAGTCTTACCTCTACGACAGAAAATTTGCTGTTCGATGCAACACTGCTATAACTGACGATTTCACTATTGAAGCTGGAGTTCCTCAAGGAAGAGTGCTCGGGCCAACATTATATGTCCTCTATACAGCAGACATCCCAACAAGCACACGACTAACAACATCTACGTTTGCTGATGATACACCCATTCTCTGCCGCTCAAAATGCGCGATGCAAGCAACTGCGCAGCTAGCTCTTCTCATCTGGTCGATGTTGAAAAGTGGCTATCAGATTGGCGAATTAAAGTGAGCGAACAAAAATGCAAGCACGTTACGTTCACCCTGAACAGGCAAAACTGCCCGCCGCTTATGTTAAACCATACTCTACTCCCGCAAGCAAACGAAGTGACATATCTAGGAGTACACCTCGACAGAAGACTCACATGGCGCCGGCACATTGAAGCCAAAAGAACACACCTAAAGCTAAAAGCCAGTAGCCTTCATTGGCTTATCAACGCCCGGTCTCCCCTTAGTCTTGAATATAAGGACCTGCTGTATAACTCGGTACTAAAACCTATATGGATGTACGGCTCCCAGTTATGGGGGAATGCCAGCGATAGCAATATTGACATAGCGAGCTCAGTCGAAGATCTTGAGAACTATAACCGGGGCACCGTGGTACGTTCGCAACGAAAACATACATCGCGACTTAAACATTCAACCAGTCAAAGATGTGATCGCAAAACAGTAGGAAAAGTACTTTACCAAGCTATCGTTCACCCTAACCACCTGGCGAAAGGTCTTACAAGGTTGATCAACCAATTACGCCTCCGTCGCAATGACTTACCCACCCAGCGACCGACTTGAGGCACGCGCAACCAGAATCCAGTCTTATTATATTGTTAGTTAAATTTTAATGTTAAGATTCGTAAACTTATTGTTAGTCTCAAAATTAAGAGAAGATTCAATAAATAAAAGCCAAATTAAATACAAAAAAAAAAAAAAATGAAAAAAATGATGACCCCACCTTAATGACAACACCAAAATTCGAAGAAAATCACCTCGATATTCGGTATTTTAATCAAAACGCTGGGAAATAGTGGTCGAATGATGAAATGGCATACCTCGTTGAATTCGTTACAAAATTTCCAACAAAGTGGCATTTACAGAAAAAAAGTTCCATTTGAAAAATTTTTTTGAAAAAAAAACAATACCCCCACCTTTATGACCACCTTTTATTTCCAACAAAGTGGCATTTACAAAAATAAAATAAACTTTTTCGAAAAAAAACCATGACCCCCACCCTTATGACAAGGCCCAAATCCTGAGAAAATCACATCGATTTTTCAGGTTTTTAATCAAAACCCTGGGAAATAGTGGTCGGTGTTGGAATGGCATACCTCCTTGAATTTGTTACCAAATTTCCAACAAAGTGGCATTTACAGAAAAAAAATATCGTTTGAACAAAATTTTTTTAAAAAAATGTAGTTTTTCTCCTTTATAACAACGCCAAAATCCGAAGAAAATCACCTCGATTTTCGGTATTCTAATCAAAACCATGGGAAATAGTGGTCGAATGTTGGAATGGCATACCTCGTTGAATTCGTTACAAAATTTCCAACAAAGTGTCATTTACAGACAAAAAATATAATTTTAACAAATTTTTGGAAAAAAAAGATGACCCCTACCCTTATGACAACGCCAAAATCCGAAGAAAATCACCTCGATTTTCGGTATTTTAATCAAAACCCTGGGAAATAGTGGTCAAATGTTGGAATGGCATACCTCGTTGAATTCGTTACAAAATTTCCAACAAAGTAACATT